TGTGTTTTACCCTGGGCAAATTTCCCTGGCGGTCCTTTCCCTTCTTAACAAACCTTCTGGCGGCTTCAGGCATACCGGCCTGTTCTGCAGCCCCTATCGCCTCTGGGGGCGATGTCGACGGAGGTTTGCCGTCCACTGGGAAAGTGTATTCCAGCGGAGTTATTTCGCGGGTTCCCAGTTATCGTTTCCCGTCGACGTGGTTGGGAGGCAATCTTCACGCGCTGAAGGAGCTGCGCCCAAGAAAGAAGCCATCGACACGCTTTTATGGGCCCTTTTTTCCAAGTGTTTTGAGCTCGTCAATCTCTCGACCCTCTCGGCGCTGCCGCCAGTTTCATTCCCCGTGCAGCTGCCTAGGTCGGCAGTGCAAGGGCGCCGGCACGGCCGGTATATTTCGCTATCGGGCACGGTGGTCGGAGCCTTCTTCGTCAACAACGGCATCGTCGCTGGTTGTGGTTTCGCGACCACCGTGGTGCGCATCAACGCTGCGCCAGCGCCCAACGCCTTGCAGCTACCGCCAGGCATCGCGCTCGACGTGCACATCGATGACACCGGTCTCACAGCGTCGGGACATGCGCCGACAAAGTCAGCCATCTCCCTGAGGCAGCAGCTAGCCGCTAGCCTCAGGTCCGCCATCGAGGATGACATGGGCGGCGCGATCTCGATTGATAAAGCTGCCCTCGCCGCCTCGTCGGATGCGCTCGCCAATCCGGCCAGAGATCGCGTGGGGGGCCTTTCTGGGCCCGTGGTTCCCTCTGCTGTGAACCTCGGGATTGATTTTGCCCCTGGGCCCCCCCGTCGCGCCCCCGGTCGCGGCCGAAAGTTTGGCGGCCGCCAGCGCGCGTTCAACAGATAGCTCCAGAGGCTCCAAGGGGCCGAGAGGTTTCCTGGGAGGCTTGCGTCCAAGGTCTTTACCGCTGGCCCTCCCCCCACCCTCACCTTGGGAGCCGAAGTGCACGGGCTTTCCAACTATGAGCGGGGAAGGCCCCAGGTCTGCTGCCAGCGCGACGCAGCCCTCTGCCAAGATGATGAGATCGGGGACCTCTCTGCTCATTCTCTCTCAGGACCCCGCCTGGCACCTTGCCGCGGCGCCGATCGTGCGCTGCGCCCGGGAAGCCCGGGCGAACCGCGCCAAGCTGTTTCCCTGTGTTATTCCTTGGGGCGGGTTGCGGCAGATGCGGCCCTCGGCGCCCCTTCCCCCCTGGGCCCGAAACCTGGCGGGGGGCGAAGGGCCTTTCGGGGGCCGTGAAGCTGGCCCTCGGACGCCTCTCGTGGGCCATGCCAAATTATTACACCCTTCTGGACGGTCTTGGAACTGAAGTGCCCCTCGCGGTCGCTTATCCAGCCCAGCTTAAGAAGATGTTGAAGGCGGCTGTTCAGAGGACTCACGCGCGCGCTAGTGGCGCCACCCTGCTTCCTCGCTCGCTCGGGGCGCGAGCGCGCCACGATGTTGTTGCAGCCGCGACGCGTTCCAGGAAAGGCGCACCTTCTCAGCGAGGACGCGCCAAGGCCGTTGCATGCAATTCTATTTAGACCAGAACCAGGGCTGCTGAGGCAGGGCACGCCGTCGACACGAGTTGCGAGATATGCCGGGTCAGTCCAGACATTGTGCCGCGCCGCCTGTGGCGCTGTCCTGCGTGCCACGACCAGCGCGAAGAGGTCCCCCGGCGTTTCAAGAAATCCAACGCCCACCTCCTGGCTTGTCGGCGGACACCAACGAGGGGGATTTCTTACTTTACACCAGGGGGTTGTTTCGGCACCCAGGAGATGCGTTTCTGCTTCCTGCTCGCGATGACGTTGAAGACGCTGGCCTCGAGGTTACATGGGCCAAAGATCGTGCTTGTAAATCCCTGGATATGCCTGGACATATTTGCGTCGATGGGTCGTGCGCCACCCATGCTGTCAAAGAGCTCTCCAGGGCTGGGCGGGAGATAGTGGTCGTAGGAGATGAAGGTGCCGAAGTTTGCCGCATCACTCTGGAGGACCTAAGGCGGGGAATTCGGCCCTATGCTGTTGCTGCGATGCATGCCATGCCTGGCAGCTCGATGCATTCCGACTGCCAGAATGTGGTCGCCCAGGCTAACGAGCCCATTCATGCGCTCCCTGTCCTACCAGCTGGTGCATTCGGGGTTTGTGCTGCCCACCCATCGGAGGCTTCCTGACGGGGCGTTCAAAGTGCAAGCCCACGTCGAAGAGTCTCAGGGTCCTGCCGACCTGGAGCGCTTTGAGAAGCTAGGGAATGGCCTTGCCGACACTATCGCCAAACATTCGCTAGCCAGACACCCGCAGCCCGACCCTGTTGATGTTGAGTGGCTTGAGAGGTGCATAAGTGTTGCCAAGTGTGTCATGAGTCTGGCGGCTGAACTCATGCCTGGGTGTCCGAGGCTCAACGCGAGGGACGTCAAGCTTGACCGTAAGCCTCCTCGGTCCAAAGTCGCGCTTCCTCCTCGCCAGTGGGCGCGTGTCTCTACCTTGTGGCAATGGATTGATTGCCTGCGCGTTGCTAGAGGTGTGCCGCGTCTTGGGCTCGACGGAAAGTCGCCTGGAGGTCAGGCCCCGCCTGTCCCTGGTGCGTGCTCCAGAGATCCCAAGCTTGATGCTGCCGTCCTGGCGGGCTTGAGACACAATTGTATTGCGTTGCTTTGTTCGGATGGTGCTGCCCTTACCATATGTTCAAGGTGCACAGCCTACTCGTCGCATGGTCAACCACTCAGCCTTCTCCTGCAGCGCGACGGCGCGGTGCCTGGAAAGCTGCTGGGGAAGGCAAGTGCCCCAAACGCTCAGGCGTTGCTGTTGAGGTGGGGCCCTGGTACGGTCCAGACGATGACCTGCCTGCGGACCTCCCCCGTCGCCTGACTGAATGCGAGAAGGAGCTGCGCAATGCCAAGGTTGCGCGGCGCTTGTTGCGCGCTGCAGGTGGGCAGCCTGGCACCCCTGATAGACAGGAGCCAGAGAGCGGGTCCCCTGCGAGCAAGGGCCAGGGCCAGCAGCCTGATCGAGCCGTCGGCCCGTCGTGCGTGTCGTCGTCTTCCACTAGCGTTGCTGCTGAGCCCTGGCCCCATCATTTGGACCATTTTGGCGCAGAAGATGAAGCTGCCCAAGTACTTTTTTCTGGCGCGCCCAAGACGGGCGAGCCGCCATGGCCCCCGCACTCACATGCCAGGCCGAGGTCGGCTGGGACTGTCCGCGACAGGGAAGCACTCACCCTCCAAGAGGACGAGACACCCCTAGCTGCGACACCCGTGCCGCCGTCTGGTGATTCAGATTAATATCAGAGATGCAGTCCATGTCGTGCATTGCACTGCGTCTCTAGCCCCGACCTCACTTTTATTCTGGTCTTGGGCTTAAGGGGGGCGGGCGGTCAGCCACAGGGGATCTTCCCCTTGGGGAAATCGCCCCGTGGCTTTCGCGCCTGTCCTCCTCCTTTCTCTGTCTCCGGTCGCTGGACGGCCTTCCTCCAGTCCAGTGAGCAGGAGGCGACGCCCGACCACGCCCGCCGCCTGCACTTGCCACGGTCGATGTCACAAAAATCCCCCTCCTCCGCCTCTTCCTCCTTTTCGGGTCGCCTACGGCCCGGGAGGGATCCGTGCAGGTGTGGATATCTTGGTGGGGGCCACGGTGTCACCCCAGATCTCGTGGCCCCTCTGCTTCTTTCGGTGCGCCCCCTGGTGCCCCCTCGTCCGCGCACGCGCCTCGGGCCACGATCTGCGAGCCCCCCTCTTGAGCGCGCCCCCCTTCCTCGGACGCCCCCGAAGCGGGTTCGACGGTGTGCCCGTCCTGGCGGGAGGACAACGATGGGGGGCATAGGCTGAAGTCGGGCCTGTCCCTCTACATGGGGGAATATTCAGAAATAGTAGAACATGTGTGGGCAATGTTCGAATAGCTGTTGAGCACGTTCTGACTATTTGTTTTTTGTCGCCCGAAATCTCCCTGTATGGGACACGCCCGACCTAAAGATAGGCACAGGGGGGATGCACCTGCCACCCATCGCCCACGGATCACCGCCGATGGGGGGGCTCGACAGCTCCAGCCTTCCCAGGAAGGTGCGGCTTCACCATCGGGGGCCCCTCGCCGAGTTACCGGCGATGCATCGCCGATCCTGGGTCGAAGCATCCCCCCTTAGGCCAGAGCCCCCCCCCTTTATCGCTGCCCCTCAAAGGAGGGGGCCCTGGGGTTCTTGGGTTTCGATGGCGTTGCTACGGATTGCGCGACGCCCCCACACCAAAAGCCAATGGACGTCCTGGGGTCTCAGGGTTGAGTTTCTCGCGGAAGGCTTCTTGTGGACGGCCCCCCAGAGGACGGCGGAAGGTGGTCAGGCGATGCCGGCGGTGCCACTCAGGGGCGGGAGGCGACGGCGGGGAAGGTGGTCCGGATGAGGGACTCCGACCTCCGACGGTACGGGCTCCTGCGCGGGCCGTTGTGTGTCTCCTTGATGTCGGCCCCGTTGGATGTCGGCACCTGGGGCCAACAAGCTCGGGCGTTGCTAGAAGTACCCCTGGCCCAAGGTATCCCCAGGATTCTCGGGGTGGCCCAGGCGGCCTCCAGGGCACCCATCACGAGGCCCAGAGGGCCCCAGGGGCTCCAAAATGAAGCGAGAAGCTCGGGGCTCCTTGGGCCAGGGGCACTTCTAGCAACACCCGACAAGCACGAATCCAGGATGGTGGTCGTTTATGTATGCCTTGTTTTGCCGATCGGCGCGGGCCCTTTCCGCCCCCTTTCTCCCCCACTCATGGAGTGGGTCTAGGCTGTTCTTCTTGTTGGCGCCTGTTTAGAGCAGGTTGAGTCTTTCCCCCATCGGACGTACGGTTCCAAAGAGTCGCACTGAGCAGCGGTCCAGAGCCAGACCCCCCCCCCCCGCCCCCCCTTACGCCCAATGTCGAAACGCCG